CCCCTTTCTCACACAGAATAACAACAATCGTTTTGGAGTCAACCTCCAATTCAATATGCTTATACCCGAGCTCCCAAGCCATCCGCAGACCATCTAGAAAAGCCCATAATTCGCAGACACAACAGAGCAAGCTCCAATATTTTGAGCAAAACCACCAAGCCATTTATCCGTAGCATCTCTAATGAGACCCCCAGCCCCAGCATGACCCGTATGTTTTTAAAATGAGCCATCTGTATTCAGTTTAAACCAACCATTCTTTGGNAATTTTTTTTTTTTGTTTGAGTAAAATTGGAAATAAGGATAGATCCATCTTCAAACTACATAGCTTTCTCATATAGCACTTTAAAAAGAGTAATACTAGATAGACTTAAAAACTAAACTTGATAATCTCAACCATTGAACAGGTAGTGGGTTTCAATAAATGCTGGGACCCACAGTGAAACCAATAGTTGTAATTATCAAGTCTGATTTTTAAAACTATGTAGCATTGCTCCTTTAAAAAACTTACGATTAATGGATTTTAAAGCTCTAATGACTAGTTACAATCCAAGTTATAAAACATATTATAATAACCCATTAAATAAGTATAAAAACCCGTTAAACATATTATCAATCATCCTATTAAAACATAATAAATATAAAATAAAAATTAAATAAAATAAAACTAAACATTAATAATAAAATCAAATAAATTACACTGACACCGCTTGTAGATTGATCTAATTCAAAAAATTAAGGGGGTGTCTTTGTAATTAGATCAATCTACAAGGGTGTTAGTGTAATTTACTCCAAAATCAATCACAAGTTTGAAAAATTCTCATTTTATTCTAACAATCCTCCACAAGTTTTAAAAACTTTAATATATCCAAAATATATAAACTTCAGGACAAACATTATACTGTGCAATGGGTATAGGTGTCTTTTGACTTAAACCTCACTTGATATTGACAGTCTTTCCCTCGAGGATCAAAGTAAACTAGGTCTTGAACTTAACCCTTTAAGCCAGAGTTTGATGTGTCACACACAGTATCGATATTAGTTAGGATTCGCCGGTCAATGCAAGTAATGAGCATACACTTGATCTTGATTTTCATGAGAGTTTCTAGAGAATAACCAAATTCTAACAGTCGCGGCCTCAAGACTATTGTCATTTAGGTGAGCCCTCCAAGGGTGCATGTGCACAATTCTCTGTAGGAGTGTTCCTACCTCGGTCCCATTCAGGGTATAGTCCTTCCTTACCATCACAATACAAATGCACCTCTGTTATAGGGATGATCAGAAAAATATCTCCTCTAGGAAAATATCTCATAATGCTAATGAGTCGTGCAGAATAAATTATTTCTATCCGTTGAACTTTCTTCATGGTTCCCAGTCACATTAGTTGAGTTACCTCCCTATGTGACTCCCTTACGGGCTTATGGTCATACCTCTCGTCAGTCCTCAAAAACTTAGCTTTTCTCCAAAATTCACTAATGAAATTGATCATCTTTTATATATTCATGTCTCATGACTTTTCTCAAAAGTTGTAAAATTATTTATCAGCTTTGTTTGGTTGAAGATTTATAAATTTCTTGTAGAATGATCTTTCTTTACGGATGAAAATCTTGCTCGGGCGTGCACGTCTCCATTCCTTCTTATTGATATTAATCTGACATGTCTCAAACATTACTGGCAAATACTACATTAAAATGCATTTGTTTGAGATGATCATTAGGGCCAAAAATAATTCACTTATTAGGTATGAAACAATTTATATAAACATCTTAATAGATATTTGTATCGTTGCACTTTTCAACACTTATAGACAGATACCAAAACATAACTTATAAAAAAATTCTGATTACATGTGCATCGTTATGCCCTCACCTTTAATGTGTTCTTATGATATGCTTCTTTTCCTTATTTAAAGTTGGAGCTATGTTATTTAAAGATCTTGTAGTTCATTAAAACAATATTTGTGTCAATCTCTGCATTAACAACCATCTCTCAATAATAATCCTCCAATAGGTTGACAATCACACAATTAGACTAATTGCTACATGGCACAATTTGTTTATTATTTTATCATCAAGTAAATAGCACCAATTAATCAGAATAATATATAGACTTACAAGTTGTAAATTTCAACCATGAACTTCTTTTCAACTGTTATCCATAATATTTCAATATTGTGTCTGTTGCATGATTGACTATCATGAAGATAATCAAATAAACAACACAGACCCCACATTACCAATCTCTAAGGTATTGGCCATATAAAACTACCACAAGAGTCGCAACATCATTCATCCCACAAAACCATAAACAAAAGATTGTTTGACTAAGAGTCTAATATCTATCATAAATCAATCATGTTTGGTCAATAGGGCTGGTCCAATAGTCAGGGAACTTAAATTGTGTCAACTCCCTAATCCCTCCCCCTCCATTGAAGCCGAAACCCTCCCCGTCTACTATGGATCTGGTGGTTTGTGACTAGGTGGTTGAGTGGTGGCTGTGGTGGTTTGTGGTTGGGTGGTGGCTACGGTGGTTTGTGGCGGTGGTGGTTGTTGGATAGTTGGTTGGGTGGTGGTTGCAGTTGTTTGTGGTTTGGTGACTGGGTGGTTGTTTGGCTGATTGTGGTTGTGGTGGTTGGTAGCTGCAGTGGGTTGGCAGTTGTGGTGGTTGTGGCTGGATGGTGGCTATGATGGTTTGTGGGCTTGTTGATTGTAGCTGCATTGGTGGCTGTGGTGGTTAGTGGTCTTTTATAAGTAAAACCATAACACCTTATTTTCACAAAATATTATTTAGCAATAGTCTTTTATAAGTAAAGTTTCATGCCAATTGTTTAACAAATAACAAAATCACACAACTTTAAAAGAAAAATTTAGGAAAACTTAAATCCATCACAAATGTTTTAAACCAAACGTAGATATAGGAATAATGTAAATCTATCACAATCAAATTACTTAAGTTCAATCAAATGAATTAACTGAATCCACAATGTAATCCATACTCTTTTTTTTTTTTTTTTTGCTGATCATGTAATCCATACTTATTCAAGCCTAATAAATCAAAATAGTTTGAACCAAAACATAATCCATAACGGATAAATTCCAAATATAGCAATCCAGTTAATATAACAAGCTCCAAATCCCAATTTCAATCCAACATATAAAAATGTCAGAGAGGAGAGAACTTACAGATTTTCAATTGTATTAGTGTAAACCTTCAAATTAATTTGTTCTTTACAAACAGAAGACTTCGCTACAACCTAAATAAGCTCGACGTTCTTTTTGTTCCCTTTAGCCTCCAATTTTCGAAAAACAACTCATTGATTCGGGTCAGGCTGCTGCGGACAATTTCAAAAGAAATCAATACATAAACGATAAAATCGACATGGTTCAGTTCGAATTCAATAATCGAAGCTCTAATTCTATATGAAAATAAGTGAATGGATGGGATAGTAGAAACCCTAATTACAATCCCATAAAATTACAAAAGCTGTTGAAATCAAATAAATCGCTTATTGGTACCTCTCCACATGCCATCTCCGATATAATCTCCTAAGCTCTCATCTCTGTAAAAGATATCCTCACAATCGACTTGTATAAACGACGATAGAAGTCGAAAACGGAGAGAGCAACGAGGGAACACTATACAGAGGAATGCCCAGGAGTACGAGAGGAGCACAGACCTAGAAGCCTGGAATGAAGGAAGAGCAGCAACGAACATAGTGGAAAATTGGAAGAGTAAATTACACTTTACTCCCAGAACTATTGTCATTGTTTTAATTTATACCCTCAACAATAACATTTATCATATTATACCCTAAAGTATGAAATTTATTTCATATCACTTTAATAGATAATGACAAACTTGAAAATCTGCCAAATAATGAAAGAAAACCCCAAAAAACTTTACGCCAAGTGCCTAGAACCACTTTATTTTACCTATTTTACAACTAAATAATTGTTGAAAATAAAAAGAAATTTTTATTGACAGTACAAATCTTTCACATGCGCATTTATCGTAAAAAAATTGGCATTTGTTATCTATTGGAGTTATATGAAATAAAATTCATATTTTAGAGAGTAATATAAAAAATTTTATAGTTTAAGGTATAAAATAAAATTAAAGCAATAGTTTAAAGGGATAAAGTGTAATTTATCTAAATTTGAATGATGATGCTGAGTAACCTTTAAATCCCAATCCGGTAATTGGTAAAGGACGTCACACGTTTTTATAAAAGAGTAATATTATATGGGTTTAAAAAGAAAAAAAGACTTAAAATTTAGATTTAATAATTATAAAATACAAAACCACCCCTTAAATTGTTGACAACATTTCAATGGGGGAACCTTTAAAAAGTTGTAAAGATTTTAATATTCAACCTACAACCCAAAATGTTTTAAAATTACAGTGGGAATAGTTGTCCCCACTGCCCCGGTAAATCCGCCATGAACGACCAAATGGCAATATTGTCATGGTCGGCCGTTGCCATATGGTGTACCAGCCATGACGAGGGGCGAAAAGAAACAATATTGCCGAAACCTTGTTCATTACGAGGTCAGTCCACCAAGAAACAAACAAACATATAATTATACATCAATCTGTATTTTCTTATGTAATTAGGACAACACAATTTGAGATTCAAATCCAGGAATCATTCATATATTTGAAGTTAGTCGGCAATAATTAATGAGTCAAATTTGTCATGGATTTTAGCAAAATAAATTGTCCAAAAATAGTTGAATCTTCCTCCGGATTGTCACTGAAGCAAGTAAGTTGTGTTTAGCGGTCTTCAGGTACATATCATATGCATTTGTGTTAGCTCATTTAAGTGGATTTGACAAATTCACCCATTTGTCGACCAAATCTGCTCGGACAAAACCCAAACTCCCAAGTTCCTAATCGGTTTTGTTTGGTGTTAGCAGCTAGGTGAATAATTGCCAATCCTAATCTTCTTATAATCCAACACATTTTCCCCTTAAAGTTGCTGATTCAGTAATCTAAAGAGAGAGATGGAAAAACCGGAAGCACAGAGACATGGGCGAGTGGTGGTGTTAGTCTCGGCTCCATTACAAGGGCACATGACTCCGGTGCTTCAATTGGGCACCATACTTCATTCCAGGGGCTTCTCCATCATCGTCGCCCACACACAACACAACTCTCCTAATCCCTCAAACCATCCTGAATTCATCTTCCTACCCATCTCGAACAACTTAAGTGATAATAAAACCTCCTTCAAGAACCCATTAGATTTCCTATTAGCCATTAACAACAACTGCAAAGCTCCACTCGAAGAGAGCTTGGCTCAAATGGTAGAAAAAACAGGGTCCACATGAACAGATCATCTGCATCATCTACGATTCACTCATGTACTTTTCTGAAGCTGTGGCTAATCATCTGAACCTTCCAAGCATCATCTTTCGCACAACCTGTGCTCTCAATTTGCAAGCTTACCATGCCATTCTTCGGCTCCAAGAAGAAGGTCATCTTCCCCTTCAAGGTACATATGGCAACTGTAACTTAGAAGTGATGGCTGAAATTGTAAAGAAAAACGAAAAGGGAAGAAATTTTTCCATAAATTATATATTGCACCAACAAACAAAATAAAAAACTTGACATTGATAAAAGCTCTGTCCCAGCTTATAGAATAAAAGGAAAAGGAAATCGTATGAACTTCCAGGGGAACTGAGCACTAATCAAGATACTAACATTTTAATGTGATCAAGCGAGGGGAAAAATTTGTGTTTTATGTGAGATTTTGTGAAGATGAAGGTGGTAGAAGATGAATTTGCAACGAACCTGTTTGGTAAAAGAACAATAATAAGGTCAGCAATATGTCACCAAACAAGAGCAGAGTGCCAAGAATTGACTTAAACTTTTCCGAGTGTCGGGGCTTAAAGATAGGGTAGAAGGGTATACCTTGATATTATATAATTGGCTACTTTATATTGGGGTTACTTGACGAACAAGTGGGTAATTGTTTAGAAGAAAGTCCCCAATTCGTCGTTGTTTCAGCTCGGGCCTTTCCAGCTTAGAACTTATTGTATTGAGTCGAGCTGGTTGGTTCAGAATCCCCTCAACATATATACGTTCCTTTTGCTATAATGTATCTCGATTCTCGAATGTCAAGATTTTAACATCAAACAGTATCCATCTGCACAGTTGCAATTAGATTTATTGATACACAATTGTATCACACTGTACAGATTCTACAGCGCAGCAACTGGTGACAGGACTTCATCCTCTCAGGTTCAAGGATCTACCCTTATCTGGTTTTGGGACCTTTGAAGATTCAGTAAAACTAATTGAACTTCTCAGCAAGTTAACAACTTCTTCAGCTGTCATATGCAACACAGTGGACTACATCGAGCATTCAGCAGTGTCTAAGCTCCAGCAACATTATCAAGTTCCCTTCTTTTTGATAGGCCCTTTGCATAAATTGGCTTCAGCCTCGTCCACTAGCTTCGTAATAGAGGACACCCATTGTGTTGAATGGCTTGATAAGCAAGCTCCTCAATCAGTTATCTATGTAAGCTTCGGAAGCACAATAACAATAAACAAGAAAGATCTAACCGAAATGGCATGGGGTCTGGCCAACAGCGACCAACCTTTCTTGTGGGTGATTCGACCGGGCTCAGTTCATGGCTCAGAATTTGCTGAGCTTTTGCCAGAAAGTTTTGAAGAAAAAGTTGGAGAAAGAGGTTGTATAGTCAAATGGGCACCCCAGAAGGAGGTGTTGGCCCATGGTGCTGTGGGAGGTTTTTGGAGCCACTGTGGTTGGAATTCAACCTTGGAAAGTATTTCTGAGGGGGTTCCAATGGTGTGTAGGCCCTATTTTTTTGACCAAAAGGTGAATACAAGGTACTTGAGTTCAGAATGGAAGGTGGACCGGGAATTGGAGGATGTTTTGGAGAGGGGGGAGATAGAGAGAGCTATAAGAAGACTTATGGTAGATAAACAAGGCGAGGAAATGAGGCAAAAAGCGAACAATATGAAGAGCAAGATTGAAGCTTGCGTGCTAAAAGGGGGTTCTTCATATGGTTCTTTGATTGACTTAGAGAAGTTCATCCTATCATTCCCAACTTGACCAGGCCACAATGAGCACTTTGGGTGTCAGATAATGAAGATCAAGGAACTTAAGTGAATCCAGTTTATTCAATCTTCAATGGTTCATAGGCTTAGACTGTCACTAGCTCACTGCTGGTCATGACATCTTTAAATAAAAGTAAAACTATTAGAATTTCAACAAGAGCAAGGTAATTATCTTAAATTAGAAAAAGCAGAATTCATTATAACCATGCATTAGTGTTTTCATATGAATTATATTTCTTTAGATCCTTCTCTTCAGCTATACGACATTGATTGACTCTATTTCGCCATTTTTGTGGGATTAATCTAGACGGGAAAAAAAAGGAAGTAGACAGTTGTATGAAGTTACCATGCAACTTATTTGTCGGAGCTGCTTAAGAAGCAGAACACTATCTAGATGTAATGCAAAAATTGGTTCAACATGTGGAATTTGTTAATAATACTTCATTACCTACTTTTGTTTATCTTCCAAATCTTGCATTTGGTTATTGGCTAGTATTAGATTTGCAAGTTTCATCTCTTACATTCCAGATCACCTTTGGCAGCTTACCTGGAAAACCAAAGCCTTGCCAAAGATAATAACTTTTCTTTGGAAAATTGCACATGGAGCTATAGCTACTCGATGGAATCTATGGAATAGAAAAATATTACAATCCCACTAATGTCCTGTGTGGGGAGGAAGAAGAGACTAACATTTGTTCCTTTTTGTGCCCTTTGACAATCACACTTTGGGCAGTCTATCTAAACTAGTATGTTTTGTTTATTGCGGTGTATTGCTGAAGTTTTTACACTGAACAAAAAAACAAAACGTGGCACATCAACTATTGGAATGACACTAGTTAAAAAATCTACCGCACACGATTGAGTGTCATTTAATTTCATTCTTTTTGATCGATTGATCTGGATTCAATATATATACATAAATGGATATTGAGAGAAGTCATTGAACATTAACATAATGTAATTCTATGTCCTTAGCACGTCAGACAAAAAAAGACCAATAGCTCAACCAACATCGACGTCGTCTTTTTAAATTTTATCAGAAGAATTACTTTAAACGGGGCTTTTGAAGTAACTTCATTATTCTAAGCATATCCAAGAAAATCACCACCGAAGCTCTAAGATCTTGTCAATTCATGAATTATCGCAGGAAAAGAATAAACATTAGGTATCCAGATAAATTAGATCCTAGCCACACTCCCAGAAGAAAACTATATTTGTGTCAAGAATTGAGTTTGAAGATTTGAAAGGCTTATGAATTTCAAACTCAACAAAGAAGAGACAAAAATGCCCACAAAAACGTCCAATTCCGCCATTACTTTCAGCAATTTCATTTCGAAATGGTCGAAACATCTTAAACATTTTCGTTTCCATATAAATCGAAACGTATCACTGATTAAATATCAAAATTCCTATGTTTTGACATATTTCGAGGTGTTTCGGCCTATATTTCGACAAATGTCATGGAATAAATTGTCAATTTTTTTTTGTTTCCATCTTGTTTCCGAAATATTACTGAAATATTTTTGTCTCCAACCTCACCAAAATTATGCACCGAAACAAAATTTTGAGTCTTAACTTTAAGTAAGCTAGCTTAATCACCTTAATCTCTTTCTTGTGACCTTCAAAAGCATGCATATGCTGTTGAAGCAAAAATACTAAAGTTAACACACTCTCTAACATCTTAAATTTTTTGAGTAGATAATTGTTTAACATGTTATAAGAGCATGAGATTCTGTGTTTGAATTTTGCCGCCACCCTATTTATTAAAAGATTTCCGTGTGCCCTCTCTAATAGTTTAAATTTTGGAGTAAATAGATGTTTTATTAGAATAAAATGAGAAATTTTAAAACTAATGATTAATTTTATTATTAACTTTTCAATTTTATTTTATTTATTTTTAATTTATATTTATTGTGTTTTAATACGGTGATTGATATGTGTTTAATGGGTTTTTATACCTATTTGATGGGTTATTATAATGTGTTTTATGGCTTGGATTGTTACTAGCCGTTAGAGCTTTAAAACCCATTAACTTCAGTTTTCTAAAGTGCCACGTAGGAAAGGTATGTAGTTTGAAGATGGATCTATCCTTACTTCCCATTTTACTCTAAGGAAAAAAAAAACTTTTTTTTTGATCATATTTTCTCTTATACCTCCTTGTATATTATCTTTTGCTTTCTAACAATTTCGAATTGAGTTAGGTTAACCCCTTCCTTCCAGTGGCACGTGTCCATTGAGGAAATGTTGCTGCAAGTGTCTGGGTTTGATTTTAGAGTCGTTTATGTCCGTCAGTACCTTTACGCGAGGAAACTCAATTGCTTTAAAACAGTGTTCATACGACTCTCAAACTCGCAGAAATTGTTCTAATTTATAGTATTTATTTTATTCTTCTCTAAATTGATTGTTAGTTTGTATTTGTTTGTATATTCTTGTTAGTTTTTGATCTTATGCTCCCATTCTTTTGGAGTTCCTTGCATTTATTTCTATAATATTCTGGGAGTTCCTGGCATTTTTTACTACTAAATCCATTAAATTTGTTAATTAAGATTATGTATAATTTTACTTATATCATCTTCTTTAGTCTACAATCGCACATTGTCAATCATCTATATATTCTAATTGTTTTAATGTGAATGATTCTCATATATCAATATTTATTCTTGTGAGCTACAAATTTTTCTAGAAAAAAAATGTAAAGGTTAATTACAAAATGTCCCCTTAAACTTTGGGTCTTATTTTAATCAGAATCCTCTAGTTTAAAATTAAACAATTTGCCTATTTCAAGTTCCAAAATTAATAAGTTGACTAATTAATTAGACAAAAATTTTAAAATTATTTTTATACCCTTAGCTTTTATTCATCTCTATTTTCTTTCCTTTTCTCTTTGCCCAATTAAGTCAAAATCTCCAACACCACCGGCCACAAAACCATCACAACCACCGACCACCATTGCCACCAATACAGCTACAATGAACTAGCCCACAAGCCACCGTAGCCACCACCTAGCCACAACTACTGCAACTGCCAACCCACCGCAACTACCAACCACCACAGCCACCACCTAACCACGCAGTCGCCCAACCATAAACCACCGTAGCCACCACCCAACCAACTAGTCAATAACCACCGTAGTCACCACCCAACCACAAACCACCACAGCCACCACTCAACCACCCAGTCACAAACCATCGGATCCATAGTAGAGTGGGAGGGCTTCGGTTTCAGTAGAGGGGGAAGGATTAGGGGGTTGAGAAAAGGGTGAGGGTGGGTTTTGGTTTCAGTTGGCCGGG